GCCACATCTGGCCCGTGGGTGTTTTTAATCCGGCCTGCCGAAGATTGGTACAGAATTGCCCAAATCAAATCATATCATAATTATGACTGCATTCATTTGACTTTGTTCTGTAATGCCTGGCGTTCCACCAGGTGGCGCATTAGGCACAATGATACATTGACTTGATTCTGCGGAGCCCGGCCTACTCTGTTACTACTCTGCTACTGCTCTGAACCCATCTGCAACGATGAGTGAGCCAAAGAAAAGAAAAGTCGACAGTGAGCGTCGAGTGTTTAATAAGGAATGGACAACTAAACACTTTTCACTGAAGTCCGGTCAGAGGCCGTATGTCTTATTTGCCAAGAAACCGTCACGGTTTCAGAGGAATACAACATCAGCCGTCACTTTCCACCAAGCATGCTAATTACGCTAATGCTAATCACGCTAAGAAGCAGTCAATGCAAGAACGGACGGCTACTGGTCAGAGGTCGGCAGCTAGTTTGCAGGCTCAGCAAAACACCTTCATCCGACAAACTGCCATCCAAGAATCAAGTTGTGTGCTGGCATTCAAATTAGCAAAGACCAACAAGCCTTCCTCCGAAGGGGGAGTTTCTCAAAGAGTGCATGGTAGAGACAGCAGGTATCTTGTGTCCTGAGAGCAAGAACAAATTTGAAGAAAAAAAATAGCTTATTACGCAGTGACTCGCCGTGTGGAGCTAACTGACGAAGACTTAGCTAGCAAGCTAAACAAAAAAGTGGAGTCGTTGACATTATATTCCTTGGCACTGGACGATTTTTTTAATTTTTGAGGGATTAATGACAGTTTATTACGTTTCTTGAAGAAATTGACGCTGATCACTATGTGGACAATGCACACCATTAAAAATACCAGATTAAGTATGTTTATATGTATTTATTCAGAACTGTCTTCATTTTTCCTCACCATGACAGTTACATTAAAAGTACACATATGTTGGAAATGAAATGTGTTAGGCTGTCTGTAATGGAAGTGGGCCACCTTATAACTGAAAAATTTTATGTGGCCCTTGGGCCAAAAAGTTTGCACACCCCTGGGTTAGACCCATTGTGAATGACTGAACACTCACCCTTGGCTGAGCTGCTCAGCTTCTTCTCTGTCTCAGCCAGCTCCTTCTCCACCTCGGCCAGCTTCTCCACCTATGGGCAATGGGTTCCGTGAATTAGCTCAATACCAGGAATGCCCCCCCTCTAAGGAAGGGGGCGGGGCTACAAACATGCAGGGAATCCAGGGCCTTACCAGCGAGTCATAGGTGTCGGGCCTCTCCTCGATCTTCCCCGCCTTCTTCATTCGCTCCTTCCTCTTCCTCTCCACCATCCCGGTGCGGTCCAGGAAGGTGTCATCATCACTGTCATAGAAATCCTCCTCCTCCCAGTTCTTCTTCTTGCGTTTGCGGGACACTGAGTGACCGGGACAAAAAGGCATCATAGAGGAATTCCACTTAGGTATTTTTAGCTTAAGTGAAACTAACTTTACTTGGGTCATTCCCAGATGGCATCATGAGGAAAGCACCTTGGATTTAGGTCTGCAAAAACTCAAAGACTACCATTATTTACTATAGACTCGTATTATTAACCAGTCTAAAAGAGGAAAAGTAACTGCGTAATTTTACTAGTTTTCCCCTTAACCCTCTGGAGTCTAGGGGTAGGGAAGACACTTTTTCACTGACTGGGGCATGATCACACATTTCATTCAATATCATAAACTTAATTCATGGCAAACAAGTTATTTCTTACATATTTGTTTTGGCATAAAACTCATCTTAATCTTAGTGTATTTTGTAAATATGTCAGATTTATGTGAAGTTTGGAATTTGACATCAAAGTATAGACATTGCAAAATGCAGTTTGGAACACTTGCAGAAACATTATAAGTACATAGTAAGCAATGGTGCCAGTTTGTTTTGATCCCAGATATCTGATCACCAAAGTCTTGGCTACATGAAGGTAACTAAATGGTGTAGTTACAACGTTCAGTTGGATAAATAAATAAGAAAAACCGAACTCATGTCACTCTTTCTGGCTACTTTCATTGAATATGTAGCAACTGTCATGTGTATGAATGAGCCATTGACACCTGGCCACGTTTCCCCCCCCCTTTTATGGCGCTGACGGGGATGTATCTGGATCGCGTTTCACCGCTGCGTTGTTCATCTGATTACCGTGCGAATGCGATTTGAATACGCGCTAATGCGGCTATTTAGAATGTGAATAGTGATCTTCGGGTGACAGCGGTACTACACGCCCCCGATGCAGGTAAAACAATGTAAGGAAGCATTAATACTTCCTACAATGGGTGTTTTAAAAAGAAGACAGATTACGGATTTAGTCAGTGTTTTTTTCATGTTTCTATAATAAGATTTCAGTGAGTTATGAACTGAAATACACGAGAAAGATACGCCGGAGGATTAATCTACACTACCACGGTACAAAATAGGTTTCCCTGTTCAGGCCCCTCCACCTCCCTGCGCACCTGCCTCCTGCCTCAGCAGGCCGCGAGCCTCCAGCATGCGGCAGGCCTCCAGAGAGCACTGCACGGCTGCCTCCTTCTTCTTCCCAGAGTGGGTCACCTCAGCCACCAGCTGCCGGCCCAGAGCGTCATCCACAGGCAACCTGGGGGCACCGGGACGCACCGTAAACCCAACACCGGCCAGAAAGGGACGTCGGCCATCAGAACCAACAAGAGTAGGTGCTGGACTCACTTGATCCTGCAGGTCCAGGTTCCGTGGCCCTTGTCTTCATACTCATATTCCAGCTCCTCCCCTGCAATCAGAGGGTGGTTACTGAGCCTGACCGCGATCACTGAGCTGTAAATGATCAGCCGATCTTTGGGAGTACAGGCCTGGCCTCGCGGCAGCAGACCACATTTCACCTTCTCTGTCGAAGAAGCCCTGCAGAGCTTTCTTGGGGTCCTTCAGATACGCTGCTTCCTGGTCCTCCTGAAACTCCATGGCAAAGGGGTTCTCCTCATTCTCATCCTCCTCAGGCAACGCTTCCTCTTCTGGGGATAGAGGAGCAGGGGCAGAGACCAACAGTGAGCACCTGCAACTCCTCACGACAATCCTCATTCTCTGACAGGTCTAGTTCTTTTATATTAGTGTCAAGTAAATGAGATTCATATAAACCAGAAGAGAAATAAACAGAGAAGCCACAACATACTTACAGTGCTTACTGTGGGGTGGGGATAGAAATTATAAGTACAGGACCAACCCACTCCGCTCGCCCAGGGCTACCAACCCCCGCCACTCGCCCAGGGCTAGCAACCCACGCCGCTCACCCATGCCCCAGGAACATCCCGAGTCCTCTTTGGAACTCTTGGTCCTGGTGCTGGATTCTCTCTCCCCTTCCTCCTTCTTCTCCTCCTCCTCCTCCTCCTCGTCATCATCAGAGCCATCTCCCATCATCCTCTTCTCCAGTTCTGCCCTTTGCTTCCGTGCTCGCTCCCTCAGCTCGGTAACTGTCAGCTCAGACTCCGCCTCCTCATCAGAGTCTGGACCCTGCAAGCAGACGATAGTCTGGTCAGCTCCCAAATGTTCATAGTACTCTACATATTTGATTTCATTTTGTGCTGAATCTGGTATCTTCTACTTTTAATCATTGTCTTTGGATCAGTGCAGTTTACAGGTAACTTTCAAAGTCCATCTACCCAGCCTTTCCTCAAGTCATCCATCGCGGAGCCATGGCAGGGTTGAAACTCATCTCAGGCAGCATAAGGCAGGGGTACACCATGCATTGGATGCCAGTCCATCACAGAGTGTGTGTGCACGTGCACACACACACACACACACACACACAAAAACACACATACACACACACAAAAACACACATACAACTTGTTCAACACAGATCAACATTCTAATACCACAAAACAGGGACAGGATTCAAACCCCCAACACTGACAGTATCGAGGTGAGACTGCCATCCACTGACCAGGTACACCACTTCAAATAAAATAAACGCACCAAAGAATTATGCTGCCCAGTCGCCACGTTTTTTTTTTTTTTTTTAAATCCTTAAGCTGCAGCTAAAATCGCAATCTTTTGTATGAGACATACATAAACGCCTTTAGGATTTACGCCACGGAAACAGAATTACTCACCTGCAGGATGAACAGGCGACTGCTCCCCCCGAATTTGAGTACATGTCCGACCCGCAGCCTGATGTAGGTCTTCGGCGGGATCTTGTTCTTGTTGATGAAAGTGCCATGCGTGCTGCCCAGGTCAAAGGCGTAGAAGCCGGCCTCTTCCCCGACAACACCCGGCTCCCCTGGGCGCCCGCGGTACTGAACCACCGCGTGATACCTTGAGATGGAGGGATGCTCCAAAGACACGTCGCAAACGGGCAGGCGCCCGAACACGAAGAAACTCCTCTCGGCGAGCGGGACCGTGTCCAAAATGGTGCCGTTCTTCAGGATCTCGAACGAGTAGGTAGATTCGGCTAAGCCGCCCCAAGGAGGCTCGGTGTACGGCAAAGGGGGAGCGTCATTTAACTTCCCATCCGGCGGAGGTTTAGCGGGAAACCTCGGTTTGATTTTCTGTGGGGCTTTGGTGGGGGTACCATTCTCGTCCGTTTTGGTTACCTTCGACGTGACGCCCAAATTTTGAATCGTCGACGGGGCGCTGCTGCCGGCTTCCTTATTATCCGCCGACTCGCCTTTGAGGTGACATACCTCTTTAGACGCCTCTGTCACTCTGCTGCAGCCCGCTACCGCAGCGACTCCCTTCCGACTGAGAACACTTGGGGCAACGAAAATAGCGGGTTTCTTGAATGTATCGCCTGTTTCTTCTGTAACATCATTCACGACGCATTTCGTCTCACTGTCCCGTTCACTCTCAACAACACCTACCACAACTGGTTCGCTACTGACTTCAGATTTTACGTCTGCTCGTTCTTCCATTTTCAGAACGTGCGTAGAGTCCGCCATGTTGGTTTTGGTACGGTCTCTTTATACTTCCGTTCCGGCTTCATGATAAAGGTTCCGAGTAAGCTAGTCCATTTTAGCAAGACATTTTCAAATAACAACAACAACATTGTTGTTATTGACATAAAATATACTAACATATTTCTGTATCGAAACTATTACGGGATCTTCATTATACAGCTTTATTGAAAATAATTGCGTTTAAATCAGGAACTATTTCAATTAGCATTTGCTTCCACACGAAGCAAAATATGCGCCGGCACGTCGAGTTTTATTCGGAAAGCCTTCAACTACTGTCATTAGTCGTTGCTCCACGTATCGAATCTGCATTTTAAGTGAGTGTCCTTCTATGTAATAATTTAGCTGGTGCAAAAATGACTACAAATAGAAAATTCAATGTAGGAGTAACATGTAATCTACACCGACGGCCTCTTATGATGAGCTATTCGCATCTCCACTGGTAAACTAACGAGTCTTGGTTTGGTGGTTTTGGGAAACTCCCGCATGTCGTGTCCAGTGATGCATCTGAGTGATGTTCCCGTTATTTCTAACTGAGATGTGTGTGTACACGCTGTTTTACAGAGCGCCCTGACCTGATTCAAAGCTACAGGCTGGATGATGCCGTACTGGGGCGAAATCCCGGTCCCGGCGGCGCCGCCCAGCCGCAGCTCCTTCGACCTGCTCCAGCGGGAGTTCCGCTCGGTGGAGATGCAGGATCCGCCCCTGCATCAGCCTTCTGCTCAGCGCCCGCGGCCGACCACTATGCTGGACATCCCGTCCGAGCCCTGCAGTCTAACCATACACACCGTACAGCTATGCCAGCACGCCCGCCGCCTCCGCGCTCTTCTGGCCGCTGCCCAGGGCCAGCCAGTGGCAGAGGGCGCTGCGAAACTCGAAGAAGGGGAAGCACTCCCCCCACGGCCTTTAACGCCGGCTGTCCCTGATGACCTGCTGCCCCTGGACAGCAAGGCGCCCCGGCAGCCCTTCCAATTACGACACAGTGACCCGGAAAGTGACTTTTACAAGTAGGTCCCCCATTGGGTTTTACTTGTCCATCACGTGACTATAGTATTGGCCAGCAGGTGGCTTGTGGTCTTGTGAGCAGCGGGCTTTGGTTAGGGATGCCTGTCACCCACTTGCTGAGGGCACATCTCATCTCTCTCCAGGGGCAAGGGGGAGCCAGTGACGGAGCTGAGCTGGCCATCCTGCCGGCAGCTCCTGTACCAGTCTGTGGCCACGGTGCTGGCCCACGCCGGCTTCGAGTTGGCCCAGGAGAGCGTGCTGGAGACGCTGACGGACCTCGTGCACGAGCACTACTTGCGGCTCAGCCGGCTGCTCCGTGTGGCCGTGGACCGCGAGGCGTGCCTGGGGACCACGCCGTTCCCCGACGTGGTGGAGCAGGTCTTCCACGAGGTGGGCATCGGCAGCGTGCTGGCCCTGCAGAAGTTCTGGCAGGTCCGCATCAAGGATTACCATAGCAACATGCTCCAGGTGAGGCGATGCTCAAGGAAAGCAGTATCTGGGCCGCAGGCTGATCATCCCGCTTTGGGATTAGAGTGCAGCAGTGATAAGTGTAGCTTTTCAGGGTCCAAGTCAGACTGTCACTAAAATGTACTGAAGCCCTTCTATTAACGTTTTTCCACTGCATCGGGTACAGAACTTTTGGTACTAAAAAAGCAGTACTCTTCTGTTGATTTGCAGTGTAGTATCAAAGTGCAAAATGAGCTGCACATCGCCCAATCCTATAATATACTATACTAGCCGAATTCAGTACTGTTGTGATGATGTAATTTTGTGCCTGTATCTGTTTTTCATTCTGGTGGAAAATGAACACGAGGACCATTCATTCTGGTCCTGTTTTGAAGTACCTGTTACTGTGGAAAAGTGTCCTAAGACTTTTATACCTACAGATGTGGCATTGAAGTGCATATGGTCAGATTGGTTTGTGCTCTAGAACGTTCCGTTCAGCTCTGAGTTTGTCCAGGAAAGCTCAGCGTCATGAGATTCCCCGATAAGGGTTCCTTGTGCCTCATGACCTTTAACTGGACAGTGCGTGTTGATTGACAGTTGAGTGACCAGTAGGATGTGCCGCTGATGGTTGTGGCCGGGTCCCCGCCTCAGGTGTGTCGGGAGCTGTCGGAGGAGTATGATCGCCTGGTGAACCCGGACAGGGCGACCGAAGACGCCAAGCCCCTGAAGGTGAAGGATGAACCCCTTAGCGATAATATAGCGTTCCCTGTTAGCGAAGAGCCCGAGGCCGACCTGGCCTCTGGGGACCAAGCCCTGCCCACCCCCAGCGAGCGTGTGACAGGGGGCCTGGAAGGGGACAATTCACCGCACTCCTCAGGTACGTGCCTGGGCAGGCACCTGGCACACAGTGGCCTGTATGCAGCACTTAGGATGAACGCCTTCCTGCTATTGGTAGATGCTGTCTTCTGGTTACTGATCATTGGTTGTGTATTACAGGAGTGACGGGCACAGCAGTGGCAGCCGCGGCAGGAGTAGTAGGAACAGCGGCTGCAGCAGCGGCAGGGAACAGCTCCCCCTTGTGGCACCTGCCGCAGGTGAAAATGGAGCCCCAGGATGCTGAGGAAGGCCAGGTGTCAGGCCACGGGGTCCTGGGAGGCGACGTGTTCGAAGAAGAGCCTATGTCCACCATGAGCGAGACGGGAATCCCGCCCTCCCCAGGAGGCGTGGCCTCTGACGGCAGCTACCCCTCCCATTCGCCCGACTCACTCATGGGCTCCTCCCCCGTCTTCAACCAGCGGCCGCGCAAGCGAGCAAAGAAGATGTGAGGGCACAGTGCCACCACCCTGTCCGCACGGTGCAGGCCTGTCACCCCTTTCTTTGGACAGCTACTCATTTTCTGCCGCAGTTCCCCATGATCCATGTGCTGCGTCGCAGACGTGTTTCCCTGTGGCTTTTTGGACTTTTTATGCGTGCTTTTAAAATGTGTATATTTCCTAAGTAAACCTGCTCCCTCTCTCTCTGTCTCTTCTTCGCCAGACAGATTATGTTTGATACGACAGTAAAGCAGATCTAACTTTTTGGTGGCCATGTGTCTGCTGGTTTCACATTTTACGATCATGTTTGTTTAAACGTCTCCTGCCCAGAGTGATGTATGAATGAGGTAGACTGTGGCATCAGTGGCTGCAGAAATCTTGACGTTATTAAATGGGGAATTAGGGTTATTGTTTCGGGAAACTGGCTGCGTTGAAACAATTTGATGCAGTCACAGTTTATCATTGTTTGTAATGGCAGTTAAATGACATGTATGTTTATTATCCGAAGTCTGTAACATCCCAGAGAACTGCCCTCCCATCTTCAGTCTCCCAACTTTAAATGGATGCTGAAGTTTCCAATGCTAATGAGTGGAGCCTGCAGGCTGAGTTTTGCCTCTTGTTTAGCTTGATGAATCATAGGTGATAACCCACAGCCCCCACCGCCATTTGTGAGACCGTTGGACCGGGGTGGGATTTGCACAGAATAAAAATGAGCTCAGAAGATGGTAAGGTCCGAAGGTCTTCGTTAACCATTCGGTGCCAGTGCTTCCTGCGTGGCACGTGAGCTTCACGCCATAGGAGTCTTCATGGGACACCCCTGACCGTCTGCTAATGCCACCCTCATTGTGCCCAGCAATTATTCGGCATGAACGGACGCAATGAAATTAGCATCTGTTTACCTTAATGGAACGGCGCGGAAAATATGACACATGGAGTAATTACACTCAGATGTCTGTGAAGAAAGCGAAAGGACATCGGTCTAGGATAATGGCAAATTAATTACAGCTTGCATAAATCTGCATATTAATTGAGAGAGCTCTGTGATTACCTGTTGTAGCCTTTTTTTATACACTCTTTTGTTTGAGGTAAAATATTAGCTCAAGAAAACAGTTCAGAAAGAGCCTTGGTGCAGGAGTGAAAAATGGGATTTTTGTTCCTGAATCTGCCTCTCAGAGCTGCTTGAAGCTTGTTGCTGTGGTGTTCTGTCACCTGGGTACAGATACCGCATCTTGCAGTGTGACCAGTCAGGTTGTTTGTGCCCGACTTGATTGATAAACTTTGCCGGTATGAAGCACGATCAATTTCAAACTGCTGTGCAGGCAGGGATGTACCATACTCAGTGTGACAATGCAGGGGCTTTACCTGCAAGGCACTACTGTGCTCAAGCCGTGAGCACATTTATGTTTGTAAATGGGTATGGATGGATGTGTATGGATTCATCATGTAATGAAAGATGAAGCAACTTAATAAATTCTACATTGCAGGGAACTTTTTCCCCTCTGATTTCTGACAGGCAGTACAGGGACAGCCTCTGATTTCTGCCAGGCAGTACAGGGACAGCCTCTGATTTCTGCCAGNCAGGCAGTACAGGGACAGCCTCTGATTTCTGCCAGGCAGTACAGGGACAGCCTCTGATTTCTGCCAGACAGTACAGGCAGTGGTGGAACAACTGCACACTGGGCCCTGGGGCAAAAATATACCATGCCACCCTCCCTTTCCAAATTCACAGCAAGGGCCTGCCCCCCCTTCCAAGTTCACACCTAGGGCCTGCCTATGCTAGTTGTAGCAGTTGCAGATGATGAATTTTAAGTAGCCTCCAAATATCATTACCCATCATGCACTGCAGTAGTCAGCAAATTCCATAAACTTGATTTTTTGTTAAATACACGCCTCAATAACATAGTTTGACTGCAAAACATTACAAACTATTTCAAAATTAAGTATTGTACCAAATTTTGCTATGACTCCCACCATAATGAGATTGTATACACAATCTCACAAGTACATACTATATTTTATGCATGACATCACCATCTTAATCCTCATAAATGTTTTGCATACATTTGTAGTCATAGAAAGGTCCACGCTGTCGCTGGGGGGTGCAGGCTCTGGGGCAGCTACCCTGGCTGCTCAACTACCAGTCCAACCCTGAGCATAAGGATGGCTGCTGATTTCATGCAGGCAACAGAGAGATGGTCTTTGATTTCAAGAGGGTCTCACAGGAGTGGCCTCTGATTTCAGGTGGGCAGCATGAGGACAGCCTCTGAATTCAGGGAGTCAGCCCAGAGATGGCCTTTGATTTCAGGCAGGCAGCACAAGGATGGTCTCTGATTTCAGGGAGACAGCCTAGGGACAGCCTCTGAATTCAGGGAGACAGCCCAGGGATGGCCTCTGATTTCAGGGAGACAGCCTAGGGACAGCCTCTGAATTCAGGGAGACAGCCCAGGGATGGCCTCTGATTTCAGGCAGGCAGCACAAGGATGGCCTCAGATTGCACACGGGCAGCACAGAGATGGCCCTTGATTTCAAGTGGGTCTCACAGGGGCAGCTTCTGATTTCAGGTTGGCAGTATAGGGATGGGCTGTGAGTAAATGAGTAACAGTGTTAGTTGAAAAAAACACTATTCAGAGCTGAAAGGTTTCACTTGATAGCTGCATGTTAGATACTGGCTGTTAAAGATAAGTAACAGCAGGGTCTACTGCTTCATTCCTCCTCAAATGGGAAAATTCATTTTCTTGATGTTGTAGGGATAAGACTTTGGGCATTTATCTGTGTGTAATTTGGATTCACGGCCCTTTGGTTCCACGCCACATATCTCAGCTTTCAAATTTACACCTTTCTGGCTGCAAAACACACACCTGCTCCCAGAGCTGATTTGATCAAGATCAAAATGTTGTCTTATTTTCTTCCTAAATTTTCACGGTGCTACGACACATGGATGTTTTCATCAAAACACTGCCAATGCCTGGGGAGATTTTCACAGCAGAAAGAGCCTGCAATGTTACAAACTTCATAAGGAAATTTTAGTATTATGATTATTAATGAAGTTGGAAATTAAATACACTTTTCCAGTGAATTGGTGCTACATGTTTTATGTGTGGTTTGAAACATATTCACAGTAATTTAAAACTTTTCTCTAGTTTTGTTTGGTGGTAAACAAACAAATCAACCAAAATAATAATTAACCACCTTACCCAGAACAAAGAACTTACAGGTTAATTACCTCAATGTGCAGTACTGCATCCTACCAGGGGGTGGTAGTGTTTACACACTCTTCAGCACAGTCTAGTGGGTTCTGAATTCTGTATTCTACTCTGCCTCAATATCGCTAAGCCCTTTGCCTCCTGGACAGGCAGCGATTTTATTTTCGCAGGCAATATAATCCATTGTAAATGTCTCCACTGGCATTTGTGTTTTCCAGACTATTGTATTGCCAAATGAAAACATGCTATGAACTCTGAAATATAATTATCCCCGAAAGCCTCTTTATTTGCGTGGCTATGTATCATTCCTGCGGTTCCAGCACAGAATAACTCCTACTTAAAAGGAAATAACCTGTGTCAGACTGATGATGTAAGGATGGGGGATACGAGTCCAAAGCTTTCCCATGTTTTCTCACGTCAAGTTAAAGCAGATTTCTTGCGCTGACACAGGAAAAATGCCGATATTTACAGCCCTGGTGATAAGGCTTTGGTTCCCCGGTCTCCCCTCTTTAACAGTGTCAGTATTTTACTTACTCAGTCATCCTGTCTGTAGGTGTATTTAACTGTCCCACGATGCACTACGACGCGCCACATGCTACAGCTACCGCTTACCACCTGGAGAATTAGATGGGAACGCAAGCTATTAGGCATAATTACAAATTAAAAGGGGGATTATAGCAGTGGAGCGTTACCCAATGGGAATGTAAATCCAATAGAAGAAAGTTATAGATTAAATGGTTTGTGAATCATTGTACCTGGAAATTCTATTTTGGTAGGGAATGGCGAGGGATTTGTTCGCTTATAAAAGCCCCATTTTTCCGAGAAATTTAATTGCATCTATATATATATATATATGCATCTATATAGACGTTATATGAAAACTCAATGGATATGGTGGAAGAATGAGAGATGCACACAATGGGCTACATATTTGGACCTTGCCAGCACGAGATCCCGGAGCTGTCGGCAGTCATAGTTATTAAGCAGCCATGCAGCGGCCACTTCTGATGGGTCTCAGGGCCCCGTACATACTGTCTGATAGGCTGACAGGGCTCGGGAGCGGAGCGAGGCAGATCGCAGCCAGCGAACTAAACTCAACGTGCCCTGTGACACGTGAATGCGTGGCTCTCAGTGTGCTTAACGAGTCAGTAAATGTGAGTTATTCCCTCGGGGTATAGTTAAAACAAAAGCATAAGAATTGCAAGATGTCCAGGCTATTTTGATGCTGCGGGATGATAAATCGGCGAAGAAGTTTTTGAATCAGCTACTGGTTTGCTCGCAGCCGTGAGAATTTAAGGGGTAACATTAAACAGAAACCTGCATCAATTCCTCAGGATGTGAGGCGACAGGAACCTCGAGCAGGTGCTACTGCTGTGTGTGTGCAGGCACTCTGCTTTCAAATCCATCAAATCCTTACCGAAGAGAGAATATATCATAACTGCCTGTTACACAACTCATTCATTCATATTTCATAATAATGATCACTTAAGCACCATTAAAATACATTTAATCTAATATCACAATATTTGATAAGCACCATCATCAACTGAGTATGTTCTGCGCTACTGATGAAAGCGGACTTGCAGTTGTGTTTTTGTTTTCTCCACTAAACATCCAGGAGGCGCTGCTGTGCTCTTGAAGGAGGTGCATTATGCAAATCGTGAGCATGCTTATCTGGCTATACGAATGGCTGCATTTGTAAGATTTATGTTGGTCCTGATGAGCACCTGTCCTCTGAGTGTAATAACGATGTGATTATGTCTAATGTGGGATGCACTCCCCTCATTTAATGCTCCTCATTTATTTACGCATGTGTCTATTTACAGCAGGTGCTCAGGGGAAAACCAGCCACGATTCAGTCTTTTAAACCAGTGTTCCCCAACTCGGTCCTCAGGGATCCCCAGACACTTCACATTTTTGGCCCGTAAGCCTCCCCAGAGGATAATCCAGCCAGTGCCCCCCCCTCCCCATCTGGTCTACACTACCTGCCCACACTGCTGTCCAATCTGGTTATCAGTCTAGCTGTCCGACTCCCATCTCCAACGCAAGGCCCCACTTTACCGCCCAACAGACTGTCCACCATCTCAACACAGATCTCCACCACTCCACTGGCAAAATTGCCCAAGACTCTTCCTAATTTTGTAGTGTGCCACTGAACTGAATATCTCCATCCTCCGCAGACTTTCAGCTCATGCCTTGCACACGTTGACGGTGAAGCGATATTCTCTGGTGCAGTGCGGTAAGACTGAAAATTGTAATGGAAGCCAGAGCTGAAGGGTGACTCTCCTCTGGACAAGACCATCATAGAAATGGCCAGGTCTAGGTGCGCAGTGTCTGTGCTCTCACACATCGTGGCTCATGAGAAACCCGCCTCTCTCCCGCTCTGCACACTGGGCCGAGCTCTGAAAGGTTAAGCAAACACTTTGCTCTTGATAAACGGACTGACATGGGGCTGTAGTGAGAGGGAGAGGTGGGTCTGCCGGGCCCTTTGATTTGGCTGTGATTTAAGCATTTGATGCAGAGCATATGACCTGGTTGTAATGCTGATCACATGACCTAGATGGGATGCTGACCACATGACCTAGATGGGATGACTTGCTTTTTCTACAGCTGGACCCACAATAATGGTGAGCCATGCACACACACACACATATACACACACTCACACACACACACACACACACACACACTGTATATACTGTATATATTGCAACTCGTTTAATGAGAATCGGCGGCCGCAGTATGTGCTGCGGAGAGTGAGGGGTCCCGCAGCGTTGTCGAGTATGCGACGGTCGTTAGCATTAGCTAATATTTCACTGGGTACCGGGTTACTGGCATTGCTATTTCCAAGAAGGTCCACCCAGGACAGGTGTCGTAGCCAAGTTTGTGTTTACGTGGGCAGGACCTGAAGCTTTGCTGTAATCTTCATTGTAACTTAGGATAATTTTACACTATTGTGAGGCTTTTTGACCTTAAAGGGTCAATAGCACATATTAAAAGGAGAGAAGGACTCTTAAAGAGGAGAGAAGTAATGGGTTGTGGGGGATATTTCATCCATTTTCCACTGAGACACACTGATGCCTCCAGGGCTGCAAAGCATCATGGGACACCGTGGGATGCCTGTTTCTGCTCTGACAGTCATGTGGACATCATGCATGGGTTAAAAATATACATTTAGGGCTGTTTAAAAAAACATTGAGATGAGACCTTTTACACACCAAGCAAAGATGAATAAATGGATGAATAAAACTAAAGAATTGTGGGGTGGGGGGTAAAAGAGGCAGA